GCGCCCCCGGTCCATGAGATCCTGGAGGAACTGCAGAATGGCAGGCACCGGGCAACGCACAGCATCATGTCCCCACGTCAGACACCACTTGTCAAACAGCTTCCAGCGGTTGGCGTACTGTCGTCGAGTGGAAGGCGCCCTGGCATTGGAGATGGTGTGGGCGACCCCCTCACCATACCTCGGGACAATTGCACTGGACCCCTCAGTGGCCACACCCAGAGCTGAAGCCACCACCTCGGCCCGGCCAAACATAGTCCAAATGCTGGCCACCACCTCCGGGTGGAGACGCCACTCCCCGGGCTGGGGGCGTTGGCGGGACAGAAGATTTCACCCCGCTGAAATCTGTGGAGCATGTCCACAATGCCATTGATCCGCAGAGCCGACGGACGGGCGGTCATGGCAACCGAATCTAGGTACACCCCCAAGAAAGTCGTTGCCTGAGCCGGAACCAAAATGCAGCCTCGTGGAAATTCAATTTGGAAGACGTCAGCAAAGCCACCCCTTCCAGGCCGGCCTCGCAGCCCCAGCCTATCGCACAGCAAACGCCCATTTCCAACCAACCTACGCCGGCCAGGCCAGCCACTTAAAAGCGGAGAAACTCCCACTTTTCCGGCCTTCTCGAAGCCTTGCAAAGAGTCGTTCTGGAGGAATCCCTTTTGTCTACTCACGCTTACTCATACGTGTCCCTGCTGTCCTCTGTCTTGCTGCGTGTGGTCTGCTCCTCCTCCGCGTCGCTGCACCTGCTGCGGGTCTCGTGCTGTGGTCCGTGGGTCTTTGCCGCTCTCCTCCTTTGCGGGCTCTTTCTGCGGGTTCGCCACTGCTCGTCTCGTCGCGGCCTGCTGCTGCATACGGCCGGTCTGGACCGGTGCGGTGGGAGCTGTGCGCATCCCTGCCTCCTCGTGCCGGTACGGTGTGGTCCCGTTGTGTTTTCCCTTGTCTTCTGGCGTTGTGGGTAAGTATGATGGTTTATTCCCCTCGCATTGTACTGCAGGCTCAGTTGGCCCCGCGCATTGGTGTGCAAGCTCTCAGTTTAAAGCCCTCGCATTGGTCTGCAGGCTCTCTTTAACCTCTCTTGGACTGCGGCTCTCTCTTTGAATCCCTCTCTTGGACTACAAGCTCTGTTTAAATCCCTCTTTGGACTGCGGCTCTAAGTTTAAATCCTTCACTCTGACTGCAAGCTCCGTTTTAATCCCTCACATTGGACTGCAAGCTCTCAGTTTTAATCCCTCACTTTGGACTGCAATCTCTCAGTTTAAATCCCTCACATTGGCCTGCAGGCTCTCTTTAAATCCCTCTCTTGGACTACAAGCTCTGTTTAAATCCCTCTCTTTGGACTACAAGCTCTGTTTAAATCCCTCTCTTTGGACTACAAGCTCTGTTTAAATCCCTCTTTGGACTGCGGCTCTCAATTTGAATCCCTCACATTGGACTGCAAGCTCTCAGTCTAATCCCTCACTTAGGACGGCAGGCTCTGTTTGGATCCCTCACACTGGACTACAAGCTCTCAGTTTAATCCCTCTCTTTGGACTACAAGCTCTCAGTTTTAATCCCCCTCTTTGGACTACAAGCTCTCAGTATTAATCCCTCACTTTGGACTGCCGGCTCTGTTTAACTCCTTCACACTGGACTGCAGACTCTCAGTTTAAACCCCTCACTTGGACTGCGGGCTCAGTTAATCCCTCACTTGGACTGTAAACTCTGTTTAAATCCCTCACACTGGACTGCAAGCTCTCGGTTTTAATCCCTCACTTGGACTACAAGCTCTCAGTTATAAATCCCTCATTTAGGACTGCAGGCAATGTTTGAATCCCTCACACTGGACTACAAGCTCTCAGTATTAATCCCTCACTTTGGACTACAAGTTGTTTAACTCCCTCACACTGGACTGCAGGCTCTCAGTTAAACACCTCACTTGGACTGCGGGCTCAGTTTTAATACCTCACTTTGGACTGCAAGCTCAGTTTTAATACCTCACTTTGGACTGCAAGCTCTGTTTAAATCCCTCACATTGGACTGCAAGCTCTGTTTAGGTTCCTCGGCGTCTCGTGTCCCGCAACCTCTCCCGGCTCTCCGTGAGCCCCAAGTCGTCACGCGGCTCGGGCGCGGGAGGTGTCCGTGGGCTACGTCATTGGCCCCTTCTCTCCGTCTCGCTCTAACCCGATGGGCATCGCCACCCGCAAGCACTCCAGGGAGAAGCGTCTCATATTCGTCCTGTCCTGTCCCCGCTCCGGGCCCGCCCCGAGCATCAACAGCCCCTTCCCTCCAGCGCCCTTCTCCCTGCAGTCCGCTACCGTGGACCACGCGATCAGGCTGATAAAGACTTTCGGCCCCGGCTCCTGGCTCTCTAAGGCCGACATCCCGGATGCGTTCAAGCTGCTGCCCATCCACCCCGACCACTGGCGCTGTTCAGGGGTCAAGTGGCGTCAGAGTTCTTCTTCGCCGTGCGCCCCACCTTCGACTGCCGGAGTAGTCCCTCTCTGTTCAACAATCTCTCGGAGGCGCCGTGTTGGATTCTGCTTAATTACGCGCGGCTCCCCTCTGTCCTGCATCTCCCCGATGATTCCCTCGTAGTCAACCCACCCTCAGACTGCTCCGGGGGCTCTCTCCGCAAGCTCAAGCTCGCCTTCTCTGCCCTCGGATTCCTTCACTCCGAGGAGAAGACCACCGGCCCCGCCACCGCTTTGGAGTTCTCGGCATCCGCCTCGTCACGCGCCGTGGAGGCCTCCCCCCCGCCGGACAAGCTTGGGCACATCCGCGCTTCCATCGGTCTGCCTTGTCCTCTCCGTCACTTTCGAAGCGTCAGCTGCTCTCCCTCCTCGGGCACCTCAATGATGCTATCCGTATCATCCCTCAGGGTCGTTCTTTTATTTCCAGGCTCCTCTCCCTCGCTGGCTCCGTCCCCTCCCTCAATGATGCTGTCTGCCTGAACGCTGGGTGCCGCTCCAATCTGGCATTCTGGTCCTGTTCGCTGAGCCGCTGGAACGGTGTATCTTTTTCTACAGCGACGTCATCCCATCCTCAGTTGCCCTGCGTTTCTTCACGGACGCAGCCCCGTCCGTGGGTTTTTGGGGTTTTTTCCAGGACCAGTGGTTCGCCGGGCCCTGGCCCGACTCTTTCCCTCGAAGCATCTCCTCCGCACTCCATGAAATATATCCCGTGACCGTAGCCTGCGTGCCGTGGAGCCATACGTGGCACAGAAAAAAGATTCCGTGATGCGTGTCAATCTCGACGTGGTAGAAATAATTAACAGAGGTCGTTCGTCCTCTCCCCAAGTCATGTCTTTCCTCAGAAGCATCACATGGCTCTCAGTCCTAAATAATTTCATCATCACTGCTCGTCACGTCCCCGGTCACCTTGACCGTATTGCTGACTGTCTCTCTCGCTTTAAATTCCAGGAGTTCCGACGCCTCTGCCCATCTGCCAATTCAACGCCATGCCAGATCCCCTCCCTCGCCCTGGACTAGTCCCTCCGTCTCTTCACCTTCTCCTCTCCTCCGCTTCATCCTACATGAAAAGGGGCCTCTCACCTTCCACGCGGAAATCGTACAGTTTTGCTTGGAAAGTCTACTCTAGCTTTTGCTACGCTCACTGCATTCCCCTAATTCCGCCCTCTGCTTGCACAATCTGTGCCTTCATAGTTCACTGTGCGGACAATCTCCACTACAAGATCTCTTACATTCGCTCTCTTCTCGCCGGGATACAATTCCAGGCCCGCTGTCACAACCCCGCTTTCTCCTCTCTATTCTCTGACCCATCAATCAAACTCGTCATCAAAGGCATTCACAACTGCACCCCGCATTCCTCGGACCACAGGCGTCCCATCACACTGTCCATCCTCCACCAGCTCTGCGCCGCACTTCGCTCCAGCATCTAACTGGTTCAGAGCCCAACTCAAGTCTGTACTGCTGCTTTGTAAACTTGTCCCCTCATTTCTACACAGCTCACTCTTTCCGGATAGGCGCAGCTACGCGCGCTGCTTCCCTGGGTCTTTCCCATTCTGCCCTTCAGCCGTTGGGTCGCTGGTCATCATCTGCCCTCTCCTCATACATCAGGCCTGACACTTCGACTATTCTGGCAGCCCAGCGTCTATTGGCATCTCCGTAAAGCACTTGCAAACTCCCTGGTGGCGGCAGCAGCTGAGCACTTATAAATAGCGTTGCCTTTATAAATAGTGTTGCCTTTATATATAGCGGTGCCTTTATAAATAGTGTTGCCTTTATAAATAGTGTTGCCTTTATATATAGCGGTGCCTTTATAAATAGTGTTTCCTTTATATATAGCGGTGCCTTTATAAATAGTGTTGCCTTTATAAATAGTGTTGCCTTTATATATAGCGGTGCCTTTTATAAATAGTGTTGCCTTTATATATAGCGGTGCCTTTATAAATAGTGTTGCCTTTATAAATAGTGTTGCCTTTATATATACCGGTGCCTTTATAAATAGTGTTGCCTTTATATATAGCGGTGCCTTTATAAATAGTGTTGCCTTTATATGTAGCGGTGCCTTTATAAATAGTGTTGCCTTTATATATAGCGGTGCCTTTATAAATAGTGTTGCCTTTATATATAGCGGTGCACGCACGACGTCCCCTGCTAACCAGGCCTGCAAAACTCCATCAAACACACAGCCTTTTGGGGATTGTGCGCGCACTCTCGCAGGAGCCTCGCTGACTGAACGCCGCACCGGGGCCTAGGGCGCCAAACTACCTTCAATAAAATACTTGAAACTCCCTGGTGGCGGCAGCAGCTGAGCACTTATGTTCATGTCAATGAACTCGAGGTGCGCTGCTCGGCTGCGCACTGCATGTCAGCATGCTCCGTTCGTTTGTATTCGTTTTGTGTTTTATGTCGACTTAAACATTTGTCCTACTCGCCACGTAAGCTCATGAAGTTTAAAACTTTACGATGAGAGAAAGAGACCACCAACAATGCTTTTGATTTTGTGGACTATTGGCCTCGGTGGATTCTGGCTGTCACTGCTACCTCCGACGATAACACACCATGAGAGGCGACAGCATGGGCAGGATCGAGAGGGTCTTACCTTCTACTTGCTTCTACAGTCGACAGACTTTACTGGAGTTACGGGAGCGGGTTCTGGACAACTCGCCCCAAGACACCTTGCTGTTGGAGAATATTCCTCAGGAGTTGATCAAATCTAAGCGGAGCAGGAAACCCGGAAGACGAGGGGGAGTCAAGAACCGGCTTCGGCGAAGATTTAATCGCCCACCGCTACCCTCTATTGTCTTCACAAATCTGCGTTCCTTGAGCAATAAAGTTGACACCATACGGGCATACAGCAGATACTGTAATGAATTTCGCGAAGCATCTCTACTCTAGAAAGCTGGTTACAGCAAACGATGCCTGACTCACTCTATGAAATTCCCGGGTTTACTCTCATACGCGCAGACAGGGATGCAGACTCTGGGAAAACGAAAGGAGGAGGCATCTGCGCCTACATTAACGATCTTTGGTGCAGGCTCCACTCGGTGAAATACAGGATCTGTGATCCAAACGTGGAAATCCTGGGCATGACTTTGAGACCTTTTTACCTACCCAGAGAGTTTGGATGTATTTTGCTCTTTGTAGTTTATGCCCCTCCCAGCGGGAAAGCTGGAAAGGCAGCCAACACCATAGCTGACTGTGTTCATGAACTGCAAATGAAACATCCTGATGCACCAACTATAATTGTTGGGGACATGAACCAGTGTCATCTAGAGTCTGTCCTGCCTGGATTTGAACAATATGTGAAAAACAAAACAAGGAAAAATAATGTTTTGGATAAGTGTTTTGTTAACATCAAGAATTCTTATATTTCAAAATGTAAACCGCCAATTATGAACTCTGATCACAATGTTGTTCATATGATCCCAATTTATAAAACAAAATTTAAGAGAAGTAAACCTGTGAAGAAAGTGATAAAGAATTGGACAAATGAAAGTAAGGAACAACTGAGAGCATGTTTCGACTGGACTAACTGGGACATTTTTCAAGAAGCTTCTCTAGATGAAAGAAGCACAGTTATTAATGATTATATTAATTTCTGTGTGCAGTTAGTAGTTCCAAATAAAGAGATTAAAATCTATGCAAATAACAAATCATATGTGACAAAAGACATTAAAAGAACGATTAATGTGAGAAATGTGGCCTTCAAGAAAAAAGACACAGGGGCACTCAAACGAACAGAAAGGGAGATAAGAAACAAATTAAGAGAAGCAAAATCGAAGCACAGACAAGACTTAGAGAACGCTTTTAAAAGTAATAACTCTAAAAAGGTATGGGACACCATGAAGTCTATGACCGGAATGAACTCTCCTAATAAACCTATTGCCACAGATAATGAATACAAATTTTCAAATGACTTGAATATATTTTTCTCCAGATATGAATCCCCTGGCAGTCATCAGAAATGTCAAGAACTTCTTGCAAATATTCAACCAGGTTTGGACAGGATTGAGATCACTGTTGATGAGGTGAGAAAAACATTCAAAGCAACAAACATCAAAAAAGCTGAAGGGCCCGATAAGTGTAGTCCCTTTCTTTTAAAAAACTTTGCCACAGAGTTGGCTCCAGCTTGGCAACCACTGTTTCAGTTATCGATTGACACATGCACAGTTCCCAAAGCATGGAAAACCTCTCATATCAAACCACTGCCCAAAACTCAAAGCCCAAAAGTACACAAGGATTTCAGACCCATTGCTCTAACCTCAGTCATTATGAAGGCCTTGGAGAGAATCTTGCTAAAACATCTTCAAAGTTCAATTAGTGCCAAACTGGATCCTTTTCAGTTTGCGTATAAAACAGGTTGTGGCACCGAGGATGCTGTTGCTTCCCTCATCCACACTATCACCAAACACCTCGACAAATCCAACAACTACGCAAGAGCTCTCTTTCTGGACTATTCATCTGCCTTCAATACAATAAAACCGGACATTTTGATTTCGAAACTCTCCCATCATGAAGTTAATCCCTATCTGATTCACTGGTATGCATCTTTCCTCATCAACAGAGTCCAGCTGGTCAAAGTAAATGATACACTCTCTTCTGCCATCACAACCTCTGTTGGAGCCCCCCAGGGCTGTGTAAGCTCAGCTCTGTTGTTCACCATATACACCGACGATTGTCGAACTACTTCAAACTATCAACACATCTTCAAATATTCGGATGACACGGTCCTGGTGACCCTTCTGTCAAATACTGACAGTCCTGGGCTGCACCAGCAGGGCATAGACAAGGTTGTGATTTGGAGCAAAAACAACGCTCTGGAAACCAAAAAAACAGAGGAGGTGGTATTTAGTTTAAACCCAGTAACCACAGCTCCCACTATCATCAACAACGAGCCAATCAAACAGGTGGAGTCATTCAAATATCTGGGTGTGGTCTTAGACTGTTCCTTGTCTTGGAAACACCACATTGACTTCATCTGTAAAAAGACTAAACAAAGAATATATTTCCTCCGTCGCCTGCGGTCTTTTGGAGCGTCTCGTCAGGTGTTGCTTCTGTTCTTCACTTCTGTGATTCTCAGTGTCCTGCAGTACTGTAACGCTGTGTGGTACAGCTGTCTCTCTGTCACTGCTAAATCTGTACTGAGACACTTGATTAAAATCTGCTCAAAGATTGTAGGACAGCCCCTGGATGGACTGTACGAGGCTGCATACCATAGCAACACACTGCGACTGGCTAAGAACATCACTTCAGACCCCGGCCATGTTCTGAACCTCGAATATGCGCTGTTACCATCAGGGCGGCGGTACCGTGTGCCACATTTTAATAAGGTCAGGTTGAGGAACTCCTTTGTCCATCAGTCCATCCTGAAGCTAAACGAGGATCTTAAGTCATAAAATCAAAGTGTGTTATGGCGAGCGGACAATTGTTTATAATGTCTTTGTGAATTGTCTTATACCTGTATGTCTTGTTTGTATTTTTACGGAGCTGCTGAACTGTAAAACAAATTTCGGATCCTTGTATCTGACAATAACGCATTTATCTTTATCTTTATCTTAATAAATAGCGTTGCCTTTATAAATAGTGTTGCCTTTATATATAGCGGTGCCTTTATAAATAGTGTTGCCTTTATAAATAGTGTTGCCTTTATATATAGCGGTGCCTTTATAAATAGTGTTTCCTTTATATATAGCGGTGCCTTTATAAATAGTGTTGCCTTTATAAATAGTGTTGCCTTTATATATAGCGGTGCCTTTTATAAATAGTGTTGCCTTTATATATAGCGGTGCCTTTATAAATAGTGTTGCCTTTATATGTAGCGGTGCCTTTATAAATAGTGTTGCCTTTATATATAGCGGTGCCTTTATAAATAGTATTGCCTTTATAAATAGTGTTGCCTTTATATATAGCGGTGCCTTTATAAATAGTGTTTCCTTTATATATATAGCGGTGCCTTTATAAATAGTGTTGCCTTTATAAATAGTGTTGCCTTTATATATACCGGTGCCTTTATAAATAGTGTTGCCTTTATATATAGCGGTGCCTTTATAAATAGTGTTGCCTTTATATGTAGCGGTGCCTTTATAAATAGTGTTGCCTTTATATATAGCGGTGCCTTTATAAATAGTGTTGCCTTTATATATAGCGGTGCACGCACGACGTCCCCTGCTAACCAGGCCTGCAAAACTCCATCAAACACACAGCCTTTTGGGGATTGTGCGCGCACTCTCGCAGGAGCCTCGCTGACTGAACGCCGCACCGGGGCCTAGGGCGCCAAACTACCTTCAATAAAATACTTCAAATGCATTTTGTCTCCTCGTCTCTCCAGATTGAAATGCAGCCTCACGGAAATTCAATTTGGAAGACGTCAGCAAAGCCACCCCTTCCAGGCCGGCCTCGCAGCCCCAGCCTATCGCACAGCAAACGGCCATTTCCAACCAACCTACGCCGGCCAGGCCAGCCGCTTAAAAGCGGAGAAACTCCCACTTTACGGCCTTCTCGAAGCCTTGCAAACCACCGCCTCCCCTCCTCCTCCTTTTCTCACCCTGCCTCAATCATGCCTCTTCCTGCTGCCCGAATGCCGCCACCAGTGCCTAGGTCCCGGGGGATTGTGCGCGCACTCTCGCAGGAGCCTCGCTGACTGAACGCCGCACCGGGGCCTAGGGCGCCAAACTACCTTCAATAAAATACTTAAAATGCATTTTGTCTCCTCGTCTCTCCAGATTGAATTGCTCTTGGCAACATTGACCCGCAGACCCAAACGCCCAACGTGGTCGAGGACAGTCTGAGTGTCCCGAACGGCCTGGGCACGACTGGGGGCGCACACGAGCCAGTCGTCCAGATAAGGCAGGACCCTCAACCCCCCTGCCTGAAGAGGGGCCAAGGCCGCCGCAACAACCCGGGAAAAGACCCTGGGGGACAGGGACAGCCCGAAGGGGAGCACCCGAAATTGATAATGCCGCCCCTGGAAAGCAAAACGCAGAAACCGCTGGTGATGCGGGGCAATCGGCACATGAAAATAAGCATCCTTCAGGTCGATGGATGTGAACCAATCGCCCGGAGATATTGCCTGCAACAGCTCCGGGGTCCTCAACATCCGAAACAATAGCGTCTTGAGGAACACATAGAGGCCCCGAAGGTCCAAAACCGGACGCAAGTTGCCAGTTTTCTTCGGAACCAGAAAATAAATCGAATAAAAGCCCCCTGGGACCAGCAGGGGGTCCACAGGCACTATAGCCTCCTTGTCCAGCAAGGTGGCGATCTCTACGGACAGTGCCAGTGTCCTGGCCCGGTCGTGGATCACAGTCCACCTGACGGGGCCAGGGACCGCAGGCCGACGGTGGAACTGGAGAGTGTACCCCCGGGAGAGCGTGCCCAACACCCAGAGGTCTGAGGTGTGAGCGGTCCAGTAGTCCAACTGCTCCCGGGTAAAAGAACCCACCGGCAGCGGCCTGACCTCATCTCCGAGCCCCCCGTGGCCTGGAGACCCTGGGGGGGCGCCCGAGAGCCCGTGCGTTCTGGGGAGGCCGCCGGGTAGAAGGCCGAAATCCCCTATGGTCAGGCGGAGGGACACCTGGTGGCCGCGAACCCCTAGGAAAGGGCTGTGGAACACCATACACCCGCGGAGTAGCAGCAGGAGGGGCAACCCGTGGAGAGGCCCGCCGGTGCAGCCCGACCAGCTGGTCACGCGTCCGGGTGGCCTGCGCCGTGCGCTCCAGCGCCTGAAGCGCAGCTGCACCAAAGAGCTCCCCCGGAAGCACCGGAACACTCCGGGAGAGTCCTCCTACAGGGCTCAGTGAGGGGTGACTGTGCCAATCACACCTGCCGACGTGTCTGAGTCAGGGTCGACAGCAGGCGGCCCAGTTCCCGCGACATAAGGGCAAAAGCGTGGAGGG